GTGACCAGGGCAAGTGATGGCCCCTCTCTGAGCCTCTGTTAATCCAGCCTTGAAATTAGTATAACTTTTGGGCTTACCCAATAGAAAAGGGGCAAAGGATGTGAGCAGGCAATTAATTCGCAGAAGAAACGCAAGTGGTTCAATAAGCAAACAAAAAGATGTATTTCATTAGGAAACAGGGCGGGGAGACAGGCTAATTAAAACAACAGTTCTCAAACCATTGTTCGGTAAAGGAGTGGAAAAACAGCATCTTAAAAATAGCTGTGTGTGTTTTTTAATACGTATATATATTTTTAACACATTTTTATTGATTTCTGAGAGGAAGGGAGAGGGATAGAGAGACAGAAACATCAATGATGTTTGGCTCAGTGATGACTGGCTGCCTCCTGTATGCCCCCTTCTGGAGATCGAGCCTGCAACCCGGGTATGTGCCCTGACTGGGAATCAACCGTGACCTGGTTCATAGGTCAAGGCTCAACCACCAAGCCACGCCAGCCGGGCGCTGTTGCACATGTCAGTTGAGGGCAGTCTCCGTGAAAGGAAGTGTGGCCGTGCCAATGAACCGTTTCTAAATGGGTCCTGCCAGTGTTGCTCAGTGGCTGAGCATCGACCCAGGAATCAAGAGATAACCTGTTTGATACCCCATCACGGTATGTGCCCTGGTTTTGGTTGCTGGCTCGATCCCAAGTAGGGGGCGTGCAGGAGGCAGCCAGTTGGTGATGTTTCTCTTATCGATGTTTCTCTCTATCCCTCTCTCTCACAATAAATACAAACATTTTTTTTAAATAAAGTTTCTAGCCCTAACCGGTTTGGCTCAGTGGATAGAGCATCAGCCTGCGAACTCAACGGTCCCAGGTTCGATTCCAGTCAAGGGCATGTACTTTGGTTGCAGGCACATCCCCAGTGGGAGGTGTGCAGGAGGCAGCCAAGTGATCGATGTTTCTCTCTCATCAATGTTTCTGACTCTCTGTCCCTCTCCCTTCCTCTCTGTGGAAAATTGGTAAAATATATTTTTTTAAAAAAAGAGGGGCTCCATTGAGGTCCTGGTTGGGGAGCATGTGGGAGACAACCAATCAATGTGTGTCTCTGTCTTTCCCTTCCACTCTCTCTAGTAAAAATCAATGGAAAAATATCCTTGGGTGAGGATTAGCCAATATATATCCTTAGGTGAGCATTTTTTCAAGTTTTTAAATGATCAGACTATAATGATGAAGCAATTCTATTTTTAGGAGTGAATCCTACAGACAGTCATACACAAAAGCACAGAGACTCATACAAGGACATTACTGCAGCAAGGGCCATAACAGCAAAGGAACTGGAGAGCTGACAGTCGGGTTAGATTATGGGACTCCCTACAGTGGACTCTCACGCAGCTAAAGCAATAATAGGAATATATGTCATCTAAGTTTAGATTAAATGGAAAAATTCCTAGAAGAACACCACTTAGCCAAACTGACACGGGAAGAAATAGAAAAGCTTAATAGTACTGTAACCATCAAAGAAATTCAGTTCGTAATGAAAATCTTTCCCATAAAGAAATCTCCGGGCACAGATGACTTAACCAAAAAAAAAAAAAAAAAATTGATAAAGAATGCATACATAGCCCTAAAACCAGTGTGGCTCAGTGGATAGAGCATCAGCCTGCAGACTCAAGGGTCCCAGGTTCCATTCCGGTCAAGGGCATGTACCTTGGTTGCGGGCACATACCCCGTATGGGGTGTGCAGGAGGCAGCTGATCGGTGTTTCTCTCTCATCAATGTTTCTAACTCTCTATCCCTCTCCCTTCCTCTCTGTAAAAAATCAATAAAATATATATTTTTTAAAAAGAATGCATACATATAGTTCAATGTATATAACTACAGTTTTACATATACAGTATAACAATATCTAGATGCACATATATAGTTATATATATTTACATGGTTACTAGATCCATATATGTATGCAAACACAAAAAGGGAAAACATGAAGGGGGTGCATACCAAACTAATTATGATGACTTCTGAGAAAGGGGATTTGGGACTGTCCTTTTACCTATATTGTTTCTGCTTTTATGAAACCATCTTTATGGGAAGAAATAGAAAAGCTTAATAGTACTGTAACCATCAAAGAAATTCAAAAAAAACTCCATCAAAGGCCAGCTTCATTGAGGCAAAATGGCCCATGGTAGGAAAATGATGCCAAGACCAACCTGGCATCTGCCATCTGGTTCAGGGCACTGCCACATCCACAGCAAACAGCAATCGCTTCATAGATGTCAGTCCAAAGGGAAAGCATGTCTCCCATTCTAACACAGAAGTAGAGCCCACCACATATGCAACATTGTACATTTATTTACAAAGAGGTTAGAGAAACACAGAATCTGGCCCCCCTGTGCACCGGGGAGTCACCATCGTCATAATAAATACAGTAATTTTGAAAAAGAAAAAAAAATACCGGATTGGAACAGCTGAGGGTCATCCTGAGCTCCCCACTCCCTCTCACCAGGGAGGGGGTCACAAGATAGAAGCCATCTTCCTTCCCCTCTTCCACTTCTCAATCCTCCATAACTGTCCATGGATGGAGATGAAAGAGTAGTTCTTCCCCGGTGTTATCAACTCCTATTCGACCCTCAAAACCCCAAAGTCAGTGCTCCTTGCCTTCCCAGGGCACTCCGCAGGCACCGCCTGGGTCAGACAGAGTCTCCAGCCATGTGCCAAGGGGAAATCCTAGGGGTCCAGAGACATGGATGGGGGGCATTTTGTGTATGAGGGGGCCATATCTGGGCATGGAAAGGAGGAATAAGAGGGCTCCGTGAGAGCAGTGAAGGGCATCAAACAGACTAAGTGTCTAAACTAGATGGGGAAATTCACACTGAATTCCCCCTTCAGCATACCATAGTGCACCCATAGTACAGAAGAAGAAAGTAGGGTTCAGAGGGAGGGGACCTTCTTGCCCACGGGCTGCAGAACCGGGCTGCCAGCTGAAGGGGGTCAAACAGGGCTCCCCCCCAATTCCTCCCTCTGGTGGAGGGGGAGCCTTTTCAACCAGGACCTCAGCGGAGGAGGCAGCGAGGCAGGGTCTTTGGAAGCCGAGAACACGGTGGTCTTTGGAAGGGAGGCGCTGAAGGGCCGGCGACGGGGAGTGTGGGGGTGCAGAGGCCATGGAGGGGGCGCACGGCCCACCCCGAACTCACACTGTAGTCATGACCTTGAGAGAGCCCGAGCGGAAACGCAGGATCTTTTTCTTGAGCGCGTGGGAAGCCTTGATCTTCACGAAGACTTTGGCGGGGCCGGCGGGCGCCCCTCCACCCGCACCCCCTGCCGGCCCCGAGGCCGCGGTGGCGGCCACCAGCTGCTGCGGCCACACCAGGCCCCAGCTG